GTGGTCGCCGTGATTTTGCGTTAATTTGTCAGCATAAAAACAATATGGCTTCCCCACGAGATTCTTTTTACGTATGGACGTGCATGAGGTAAGTTTTTTTTTTTTTTTCAAACTACACCTACATTGATAGAGACAGCTGGCCACTAAGAAGTAATTAAAATGTTTGCATAAAAGTTGTATGAAATGTGTTAAGTTTTCTAAAGTAACAGGATATCCTATTAATTCCCTATCAAGATCAATAAACATTCATTATCCTTGACATCTATTGTTTAACGTCAGAGAATTTTAATAAATGATTGGGTCAAATAAAGTGCGAAATGGGCTATTAATTTATAAACTTTTTATAAGCATACCCACTTTTATCTGAGTGGCAAGTTTAACAAAAAACGGGAGGAATTAGATCAGTTGTTCGAACAAATTTTGAAGTTAGAAAGAGCATTTAATTTAGAAGAAAGGGAAAAAAAACTTTATCACGTTATCAATTCAGTACGTTGATTACTTTGCTACGTACCATGCTGATATAGTCGCTCGTCGCTCTCTGAAAACTGCAACGTCAATATGGGCACCTTAGAGTGGGATTAGGGTTAGCTGAATTAGACTCAAAAAAGCTGTTTCAAGCCAAATAATTCACTGCCAGGCTTGTGACTGGCTTGTCGAACTCTCTGCATTCGGACAGAGAGGTACCCGGGCGAGGCTATGCCGAAGGGCAGAGTCTCGTCTGGGGAGATAGACAAACCTGATCCCGTGTATGCGTGGTCTACGGGGAATTTTTTTTTTGCCCGTGCCTACGCTTTCGGATTCGCCTCACTTGTGCAACATCTTTCTTCGTGGGGAGGTGGGTAAATACCAGCTGAATTGACCATTACTACTGAGTAGTGAGTTCGATCCTCACTTGGTACCAATACAGAAATTGACATTAAATAGGTCAACAAGTGTTAACATTTCGTAAAATCAGCTAGCCTAGGATTAGAACCTTCGGGATAAGGGGTAGTGTGGCTAGTCTAGTTGGCTATTATGACTGAGTAATTTTTGTTTGTTTTTGTTTTGGTGGCATAACAACTTTTAAAGTTTATTTAATCTCGAAATCTAACTTTTTATACTCAGTTTTATTCATTTATTTTATTTTACTTTTTCTGGGGTACTAATGGTTTTAGTGATACAGATTTTACTAATTGACCCATAGCTTGGGGGAGATACCTTTGCCAAGAGTATTTGCACGTAAGTGAATATAACGAACCCAACAGCAATTGGAACTTGGCTCTCCAATTAACAATTCAGATTTTTGTACGCTATCCCGTGCAACTGCGGAAAGAAATATAAAGGGGAGACAGGCCGCCCCCTTAAGGTAAGGCTTCAAGAACACCAGAAAGCTGTAACACGAGGGGAAGTGGAAAAATCAGGCATAGCTGACCACATATGGAGAGAGAAGGGAGATCACCGCCCTCTGTGGGATCAGGTTGAGGTCATAGACAAAGAACACCATTGGAAAATTCGTAAACTTAAAGAATCAGCCCATATGCTAAGCCACAAAAGTCTCCCGAGTCGACCAAGCATAAAAATGAATACAATATGGGAACTAGTAATAAGGAGTGCCAGAGAAAAGCTATAACAACAACAAAAAAATTCAATATGAGATCTGGTAAAAATATGAATTGATAACAGCAAAATTACAATATAAGAACTGGTAAAAATGATGCTGAAGACATTAGGTTTATAATATCCAAAAATTCATACACAGATGTCCCCAAGGTCATATGGCACAGTGGATAAAGGCGTTAGTTGGATCCAGTGACAGGACCCAAAGGCGGTGGAGAACTTAGAGAGGGGAATTAACAGGAGATAACTGATAACAGAAATCCCTTAGACATGGCACATGGAACTAAAACAGTCTACCCCAGTGAGCGAAATAAAGGGTTCAGTTCGACATTTCAACCACCTGAAGAAGGCCGGAGCGTGGAACGGCCGAAATGTTGTAATGAATATGGCGACAAAGATGAGGACAATAGTCCGAATAATGTCAATAGTGCTGACGTGATGTAAAATCACCATGTCTTGAGATTAGGCTCCTCGTATTTGGGTAGCAGTTAACGGGGCTAGACTGGTTGTAAGGGAAGGCAACTGGCTAGGCTGGATATCGAACTCGACTCGCTACATTCATTATTCACATCGATAGCCGTTACACTTATCGCACATGCTTCATTCCAGTGATGATTCTGAACTTCCTTTTCATCATCATCATCATCATCATCATCATTATTATTATTACAATCATCGCCATAACCTCTTGGAAAATATAGTGAAGCCGTTTTCATTTGCCTTCTTCACAGTTTTCAATTCAGAACTGTCTCTTTCTCTAGACTGGCTGTCAGCCAAGGCTCGATTAAGGCTAGTTTAAATTGCAGTTTGACCCATAAATTGGAGAAAAAAAATAGTTTCATGTCTTTCCTAAGTTTACAATAGCTAAAAACGAGCCTGGTTAAAGCCTAGATGAGTGACCGCTTCGGAATACCAGGTGATGTAAGCTTGGATGTGCGGGTGGTGTAATGGATAATGGCACAGAATTTAATTGGAAAGCTGAGTTCCAATTCCAGTCGAGTTCATTGAACCTCTTCTCCACCAGCTATGGATTAATTAGTAAGAGTTACATCACTAAACCATTATTATCTCTCCACCCTAAAAGAATTACAATTTAAAATATTTTCTGGCTTTAAGTAACCTGAAAAGGGTTGATAGGCCGTGAAAAACAAATTAGTCAATAACAGATATTGAGAAAAGTGCTGGTGAATTGAGGAAGCTTCTTACTTGACCATGTACGGCAAGAGTGAAAATGCATCATTCCACTTCCAAGAATTGGTTCAATCAATTGATCTCATTCTTCCTCACTATTTTGGCTGTTATGAATAAATGTGGGTAGGTGTGTATCCTTATTTATATTTCCGGGCGGCTTTTCGATAAATAAATACTGCTTGTTGGGAAAAAAAAACCAGTTACCTCAGCCCACGTAAGTGAAACTAAAATGTAACACTCGCCTAGCCTCTCTCTCTCTCTCCCTCTCTCTCTCTCTCCTTATCAACCTATCTCTCTCTCTCTCCCTCTCTCTCTCTCTCTCTCCTTATCAACCTATCTCTCTCTCTCTCTATATATATATATATATATATATATATATATATATATTCCTCTGTCTCTCTCCCTCTCTCTCTCTCGCTCTCCATATAGTTATATGAAGATGGCGTGTGCGTGATACTCAAGTTACGACAAGAGCCATCCTTTCATAGGATTTAACATTGGCAAGCGTTTTTTGCTTGGTCTAGGCAATCGAGGCTTCGAGCACTTTAAAGCTTTTTTCTCTTTCGTTTTTCAGTATTGTTTTTATTCGATACCGTATCTGTATAAGCGTTTTAGCAAGTTGTCCGTTAGCTTCAACGGTCTTTGTTTTTCTTTAATATATAAATATATATATGTGTGTATGCGTGTGAGTGTGTGTGTGTGTTTGTGTTTGTGTGTCATCAGTCGATCTTAGGAAACCTTGGATCTGCGCCCAAAGTATCTGTAACTAATGGTAGTAAATGAAATATCCAGGTTGTCTGAGATTTTCCTGTAACTTTTACCTTCTTTCCAGAGCTTAACAATCAGTTCTTTTTTGCAAATTTGCCAATTCTTTACCTCTTGACATGATGAAAACCTTCTTGCGTGAATATCAATTACAGGATGTTCTGTTTATCTTTTTTTAGGCTAAAAATATCTAATGATAACGTTATTATCCACTTGAATAATCTAATGTATTAAGGCAGGTTGAAAGTTTGTAAAAGTTTTTCTATGCATATTTAGTTATGCATATATGTACTTTAATTATATTACGTATTTTATTAAATTCAAAATTTGTATGTGTACGAATATTTGTTTTCTTCCATTTGGTTATATATATGTATTTATGAATTTGTGTATTTAGGCAGCAATCCTTCTTTCATGCAAATTCCATTGAATACAACAGACAAGGTGGTTTTATTTAGTTTTTTATACAATTTCTCATGTGATCTAATTTTTTTTATTTTCAGATGATAAATTATATAAAAACTCTAAAAATGTTCGAATAAAAAGAACATTCGGACAGTGTAATGATTAGCGAGCTTGTCTCGCTAGATCAATTGTGACTGAGTACGGAGTTCGATCCTTCCTTCAATACTTTCGGCCTTGTGCCACATCTAAGCTAGGTTTAGAAAATCACCTTGAGTTTCCACAATTGCTGTATGTTAACGCAATAAATCTCGAGTCTCAACACGCTTTTTTTTCTTTTCTTTTTTTTAATCTCAGCAGATTCGCTTGTCGAAGAATATCACTAGTACTACGAAATCATACACCACTTAAATCATTTTTTCTCTTTCCTTTCGTTAGCCTTTATCGCTATATCAATTTTATTGATGATCACAGACAAAAATGATCATATATATATATATATATATATATATATAATCTGTCCCATTTTACGCCTGTTATATTGATTCTTGTAAAGCAACCTGATCTTGACAAAAGGCCGAAGTTTTACGTTACATGAGGAATTTCCTCTGAATGTGAGAAGTTTTTACGAGCGCGATCTTTTGTCATTCTCAAGTTTACTTGGAATCTCCCCAGGACAGTCGTTAAGTCTTGTCTTAAACCGAGAACAACTCTAATGATAACTTTTGCTCTTTTTGGGCCTAGTTTCTGTATTCGACAAATCTTTATTTCTAAAAAAAAAAAAAAAATCATGTCATTGCTATTGTCATTTATTAAGATCAGCTTTGTTTTGATATAAGGGCACAAATATTGGGCACCCAGTAAAGATCGGACTTACAGTACAAGTATAATGACCAAGCAGATTAGCTCGTTAACCATTACTTCCTGCTCCTGCTGTTATCATTATCGGCGTTATTGTCAGCAGAATATGGAGAAGGTCGAAAGGAACAATAATAGCAAAAGATAATTTTCTTCTTCTTCTCTTCTTCTTCCTCTTCCTCTTTTAGTCCTAACTCTTCTTCCTCTTCCTCTTTTTCTTCTTCTTTTTCATCTTTTTTCTTCTTTTTCTTCTTTCTTCTTCTTCTTCTTTTTCTTCTTCTTCTTCTTCTTCTTTTTCTTCTTTCTCCTTCTTCTTTCTTTTCTTCTCCTGTATAGTCTTACCTTTTCTCCAATCTCCTCTTCCTTGTGAACAGTTTACATATTTTTCTTCTTTTAGACAGTCATAAATATTCTTCTTCTTCTTCTTCATTTTCTTCTTTATTCTTCTTCTTTTTCCTCTTTTTCTTCTTCTTCTTCTTCTTCTTCTTATTATTATTATTAGTAGTAGTAGTGGTAGTAGTAGTAGTAGTATTAGTAGATGTTTTCAATGATATTGTTGTCTTGATGGTTCAAAGACCTCCCTTATTTTCCAGTTACTCACGTCTTTTCTATAGTTTCCAAAAACAGTCCCCGTACTCCGATAATGCCTGGCACCTCTGTCAAATTTCTCTCAATTCTCTGGCAAACTCGAAATATTTCTCTATCTTTTCATTTCCATACGTGGTTCGCAAAAAGAACGAACCATATCATTCCTTGTATTTCTTCTGGCCTCAATTGCTACGGCATTTTTTATTAGTCCCACCAATCCATGATGATGATGATGATGATGATCATCATCATCATCATCATCATCGTCGTCGTCGTCGTCATCATCATCGTCATCGTCATCATCGTCGTCATCATCGTCGTCATCATCATCGTCATCATCATCATCATCACAACTTGTTCTTTTGGTTTGTTTCTTGATAAACAGTTATTTGATAACTTTTATAAATAGTTTAAATACATGGGAAGTGTTTCAATAGTGGGGAGAGGACAAACATGACACCGAATTCTGAAAGATAGATTCCAAAAAAGGAAGCAAAGTACTAAAAAAAAAGGAAACTTTCGCTAGAAACAAACAAAAAATGAAATAAAATAAAACAATACTAAACTTTGCAATACCGATCATCCTACAGAGTGCGATGGGTAAATTGTCGCCATTTTATATTCTTAATTTCGCGCATGCGCGTTGTTTTTTTTTATTTTCTCGACTTCACATCATAGAAGGGTCAGTTGGGCACCGTCTGTCAGAAAAAGTGCACCACGGCGCAATTCTCTTCGCCAGAAATTTGTAAACGGCATACTCCTTGGCATTCGCGCCGGAAGATCCAATAAGAAATATTTCAGAGTGTCAATCTAAAGACTGTGCAGAGTATTTGGAACAAGTTGGATGATATATCTAGTCAACATCATGATCTTTGGAGTGATCATTAGTGATGGCAATAATATGCTTGCATTCATCTTCTCACAGGGCCTCAGACTCAACACTGAGGTGCTTTGAGGATGGAGTGCTGCCCTAAGAGGATGTTTGCTGAAAGACCCTTTGTCCGGCAAAAGAACTCTGCACCACCTAACTCCTCAGACTGCAAACCCTTTGATTATTATGTGCAGAGTGCAGTTAATCAAAAAAGCAACAAAACTCCCTGTAATACACTGGCATGCCTTACCAGTGAACAAATGAAAGTACTATAGATTGGCTCAGAAAATCTCCTGATTTAAATCCATTCGAGAATCTGTGGTAAAATCTGCAAATATCGACTTCGTGGAATGGACATACAAAGTACTAATATGTGCACTGGGTCATGTTTTATTGGGAAAGTACGGGGAAAAATTATAACGGAATTATTGGTTTGTTTCAATTAAGGGTGTATGTCTTGCTTCAGGCTCTTGGTTGGCACAAGGCAAATAATGTAACAAAGAAGAAATTTTAAAGGGATTTTCATTGATCATAATAATAGTAAATGCTTTGATGCTAAATCTGGTATGTCTCTCAAGATGTCTTAACTTAAGTTGGAGTCTTTAACAAGAATATGTTTTATCTTGGCGAATTACAGTAAATATCTCGTTCAGTTTCCCAATTATGTTGGTCGGCTGCCCTACCATAAACAACTGAGGTCAGCTGGGTTATGCAGTTTGGAAACCAACGCCATTGTAAATTCAGCATTTTTCTATGTAGAGTTGTTATCAACGTTTTTTTTTTGTTTTTGTTTTTTGTAGTTCATCGCTCCAACATATAAAAGTGACCAAATCAAAGTACTATAGACTGACCAAGAAATTGATTTAAATCCAATCTAGAATCTGTGGTCAATCTGAAAAGAATGACTTCGTGGAATGTACATACGAAGTACTAACATGTTCACTGGGTTATGTTTCATTGTGGAAAAATGTAAATTATAATGGAATTATTCGTCTTCTTTCAATTAATTTTTACAAGGGTGTAGGATATATATATATATATATATATATATATATATATATATATATATATATATATATATAGATAGATAGATAGATAGATAGATAGATAGATAGATAGATAGATAGATAGATACATCGGCCATTGGCTGCGATGGACGCTACTCCATGGAAGTGTACGAAAATTGTAACGCTATACGAACACATTGGCAAGCCTTACCAGTGAGCAAATCAAAGTACTATAGACTGGCCCGGAAACTCTTATGATTTAACTCCAGTCTTGAATCTGTGGTCAGTCTGCAAGGAAAGACTTCGTGGAATGGACATACGAAGTACTAACATGTTCACTGGGCCATGTTTCATTGGGGAAAAATGTAAATAATAACGGAATTATTCGTCTTCTTTCAATTAATTTTTACAAGGGTGTAGGGTATATATATAGATAAATCAGATATAAATGCCATTCTATTTTCAGCATTTTTCGATTTAGAGTGGTAGTCTATGTTTTTTGTAGTTCATCGCTCCAACATAAATCAAACCAGGAGATTCCAACGACAAAACCATTATTACTCTGAAGAAAACCATTCAAAGGACGAAACTTAAAAGTTTGTTTTTTTTTTATTTAATTTCGCCTTTCGATTACACAATCTTATATTTCAGAAAAAGATGTATTTCTTGGGAAATTCTTACCATGTGCATCAGTATTCTTCTAAAATCCTTCTCTCACGATACTGCTACTCTTGGAATAATAATTGTGTTTAAATGCTACATTTTCTAATTTCCATATTTTTTATATTTGGAGAGTTTATCAAATTCCGAAATGTTTTTTATCAGACGTTACGATCATGTTGATAAGATAATATTTATGTTCTTTGATGTTTTTTCGACAATATCCGGTCGATTAACTTGGATAGGGAGCGAGCTATGTATGAGAAAACCCAGAGCAATGTCACGCCATCCCATCCAGAATATTTCTTTATTATTATTTATACATCAGCATGTTCCTGCTAGATATCTCGTTTTTATGATTCGGGATCAAGTGACAGTTTCCTCAGATGCATAGAACACTTCTCAGTATTGCAGCCATCATCTCTCGGCCTCTTTAGACCGCCGAGGAGATGATGGCTGGAATATTAAGTCCAGTTTTGGGGAGTTGTTCCGCAACTAGACTGCACATTCTTAATTGCACTTGAAATATGTTCAAGGTCAATCTCTGATGCCTGAGGTGACTCCCCAAAAACATGTACCACGAGAACTGGATAATTTCAGATACCCCCAGCATAGTGCGGGGGTCCATGTTAACTTTAACCTTACGACAAACCTACCTTCATTAGTGCTGAAGGTATCCTTTCTCCTTATTCTAGCTATGCCTAATACTGCTATAATCTGAACTGATCCTCGAAACCACATTTCACCCAAATTTGAAATTTAAATATTGAAAAACAAGACTGTTCATGCTGACCGTAGTGATTAATATGCTGTATATATTTTAATAATAATAATAATAATAATAATAATAATAATAATAATAATAATAATTACTGTTATTGTTGTCATTTGGTAGGAGCGGCCTGTTTCTCTGTCGGGCGCGTGTAGGAGTTGTGGAAATAATTTCACTTAGCGGTGAGAACGCAGTCGGAGTTGCAGGCATGCGTGTCCTGTCGCTTTCGAAAATGTACACGTCTGTTGAAACAGCTGCGATGAAGGGTGTACCCACATGTGTTCTCGTGCGTCGACAGTTGGCGCGTTGCACGACTTGAAACGTGAGAGTGGCATTTCTATATCACAATCCCTGGTTCAAATCAGATTCCAAAAAGAGGTGTTACATTTGCATTTCATAATAGTAAATTTAACAACTATAACGAGATGAAAGTGGCATTTAAAAGCCACGGATTTAATTTTTGCTCAGTTTCAAATTGCAAAACACATTGAAATGAATCAACGAATTCGATTTAGAAACAAGAGCATAGTATAGTGATATTTTGAAGCCAGCCACCAGTAAAATTGTAGTTTCATTTAAAATTGATGATGGTGACTGGATAAATGGACAATTATAAATGTTGAGATTAGATGTTTATTGAATGGTAAGTCACAGACAAAAAAGATTTACGAGGGGAGTGAATTGTTGCAAGACAAAGATTTTACATTGTGCATTTCCGAAGTTCGAAACTAATTACTGAACACCTTGCCAAAGTAAGTTTCAAAGGCAACATATTAATGGAATAGCAGTCAACATCTCGAGATATTGCTCAAACAGAAATTTTCTAATTTATAAAAGTGATGTAACGAAGAATAATAAAATATACGGCAAACATGGATAAACCTGCCCGCAAAAAGACGGAGTAACAAAAGGACAGTATTTTTCCCATAACACCGCTTTCATACTATCTTCAGTCTTCGGCAATATTGCTTTAAACAGCGATGATTAGAATTTTAATAAAACCTAAACATGTGAAAGTCAATTTATACATTTTCTTTGTTCTTGAGAATAAACAGCAACAATAATACACTCTATTCAAAGAGCCGGGTTAGAATTCTAGTTCATTACATTCACTTACGTGCTATTACCCTTGGGGAAAGTATGAATTCATCTCTTATGCGTAAATAGCAGGACAGACTAGGTTCTATAGCCTTGGATGGCAACCAGCCTAAGAGAAAAAACAATTCTGAATCCAGCACCTGTATTTTGGGACATTGTGGCATCCTGTGCACCAGTTCTCTCGACTCTTCCAAAAAGTGTGGTTTGTTCTGTACAAACATTTACCGCTATAATCAAATGATATGAGCAGGTAGTGTGGCTACTGGTTATAAGAACTGAGGAAAGAACAGTAAGATATATAATCCGGTGTTCTTATTGATATTTTTATTTTTATTTTTACAAAACAGTTCTCAATGTAAATTTACAGAGCATAAATATTATAAATTAACTGATTTAATATATGGTTTCTTCGCTACACAGTAATAAACATGTTTCAAAACCTAAAGCTAAAAACTTCAAATTTAATTATATAATTAAATTAAAAGCATTACTTCTGATTCATCTTC